AAACAACCCGGTAATCATTTTCCTCGTATTCTGTCCTATATTTTCCATCGGGCCTACTAACACCTAACCCAATTAGGCACGTGCCTGGTGTCATACGGGCCACCGTAGTGCATCTACGTCCATTTATATTTATTAATAATTTCTTTTAAATTAGTTTTTGATACAAGTTCAATAAACTTATTCAACTGGTGACATTTAAAATTAAAGATTTGATGTTGTCCGGCTTCTGCATTAAGCCTTTGAATTAATTGACCTAGAGTAAACTTTTTATTAGAGTACAGATCATTAATTGAAAATTGTTAAATTATTCGCTTGAATTTTTAAAATAAACTATTGAATTCTGTTTTTAGTTTAACAACTTATTTAACGTCATTATTGTTAAAAACTTCATGTTTTGCTGTCTTTTGATGATCTCGCTTGGACTATTTTTCTGTAAATTTCTTTAATTCTTCAATTGTTATGCTGGATAATGCATTCGCAACATGATTGACTTTACCCATAAGATACTTAACAGTAACTACATGCTGCTCAGTTCAATCGTCGTTCTTTTTTATTTGGACACCGGGTTAGCGATAAAAAATAGATAAGTCTGGTCTGTGGTCTGTTTTAAGCCGCGAGATGCATATGCTTCTGGTTATTGAATACCGTTGTATTTTTGGGTTAATGCTGCCCCACTTGCTTTCTTTACTACTGGTACCGTTTGACTGCCACGGGGATGCATTCTTAACACCCGATTGAAACGCTCTGGTAAGCGATAACAATAAGAAGCGTGATATTTTATTCTGTAAAATCTACATCAATTAACCCAACCTAAAAAACATTTAAAGCCTCATCGTAGTTTCCCTTCCTTCTCTGTGGTAGAGCCCTTGGCCCATTTTTCGTATGCGTATTAATAAAACTAACGAAATGCAAGGAATCTTTTAGCGCTATTTGCGTCTGCAGGGACTGGGTATTTTCTAATAGCTTCATGTTAGGTGTAATCAAGCAAAAAAAGTAACTATCTTCATAAAGAATGAGCATTATTAGAATGCAATTTAATATTATTTTTTTCCTAAGGTCATTAATGAGGGTATTAACCATATACTTTTCAGAACATCCTATGACACTTAAATCGTCCATATAGAGAAATGCTTGGGAAGGTCAAGGCCAATAAGTGCGTTTGTCATCATTATTTGAAAAAAAGTTGACCTACCTAATTATCAATTATCAATTATTTTTTATTAATTTGGCGAAGGAGTCACTTCCGGCCATATAAAGTATATATATTCATTATCAGCATCAACATCCGAATCGATCTTGCCATGTCCGTCTGTCCGTTTCTACGCAAACTAGTCTCAGTTTTGAAGCTATCTAAATGAAAATGTGCTGTATATACTCTCATTCGTATTTATGTCGGAACGGGCCGGATAGGACTACCATGTCATATAGCTACCATAGGAACAATCGAAAAATTTATAAAAAAAAATTATAACTTTTCCAAGTTCCAAGACTTTCATCAATTTTGAGATAAAGCCATTTTGTATTATTACAACATTTTGTTTTACATTTTATGAAAATGCTCAGTTTTCAACATATTTTAATCAAATTTGTAATATAGCCGTTTTATATATTTATAGAATTTAGGTTTAATTTTGTAAAAATCGGGAGACTATATCATACGCAGCAATAGAAATTATCAATTAATGTAGGGAAAATGCAAAAATGTGAATGTTAAACAATAAATATAGTATGAATAGGTAAATGCAACAAAAGTAGACATTAAATATATATAATTAGTAATTAGTAGACAACAAATATATATAATTTAGATTGTATTAATTATTAATGATCTAATTGCCATTTACACGGCTATACAAACTTCGCCGTAACAAAGATATCTTCTCTTTTTTGTAACCGTGTAAGTTGCAAGCTTAGGAACGACACGAGAGAATGTCATTAGCTTGCATTTAGATCCGGTTAAGTTTAATAAGTGTACCCGGCACCACAGATGCAAATGTTTTACTGAAATCTGAAAATTATTATGGAAGCCCTTTATAATAATATTGATAAAAACATTTTGACATGGAGAAATAACTGACCCACAAAGGTGCTGCAAGTGAGAAGTAATTACGTTTTCGAAAAGTTTAGGGATAGCCGGCAATTTAGAGATTCCTCTATAATTGCTGGTACCAATTTGCTATCTTTTTTGTGGAGAGGAATAACAGACGATTCCTTCCAACGAAGGGGAAGTGGGAAGTTTCTTAGTATATGCTAAATGTTTAGATGAGGGGCACACTGTGCCGCCTCAGCTCTGCTGCCGACCGTCGGCGATCTCCCGCTCACTCCTAAGCGAAGTAAAGCGGCCGAGAACCCGGATTTAAATTTAAGTTTTAGTACTATGTATGCAGCCCATTAAAGCTGACGCTGAATTTACCCCACGACGCCCTCGACTTTTTATTTCTAACCCCGAAGGGTTTTCTTAGTTTCGTGACGTGAAATGGAATGGAATGAATTTTGGCTTCAACCCCAGGATTTATTTTTGAGGGCAGGATCGCCCTCTTTAACATTTTGGTCCTTCCAGCCGGATATTAAAAGGATATTTCCAGCAAGAGTCCGCCAAAGATAAGTACGACTTTTTTCGTCTTTTCTCGCTGCTGATCTTCAACAGTGGTCCGAACAATTAACTTCGGTCGCACTATTGCAAGATTAACATTTTTTTCTTTTCAATTCCCAGTCCAAGATTTCATGACACCACGGCAGTTGAGAAATTCCAATTTCTATTATCCTTCGATCCCCGAAATTTTCCATCCGTGTCCACTTTGTGTGCGTAGATTCATAATCAATGTAGGCCAACCGGTGTGCTTTTGTTTCGGAAGTTAACCCTATTTGCACAGTCCGCCGCTGCCTCGATATTTTTTTCGATTTTTGTGCCGACACCATGCAAAATTTTTCTGTTCGTGCAATTCTTTACAGTCCACTTTTCGGCGCTCCACTGTGCCAATATATGCCCTAACCCATACACCGATTTACGACCTAATCATAAGGTTCGAGAGGTAGGCCTCAATGATAACAGCCTATGCTGACGACACAAGCATCATTATCACGGGAGTATGTCCATCGACCCTTAGCTCGATCATGGAATCAACACTCAGGAAGAGAACAAGGTATGGCTCAGTATCAAAGCGGATAAGACGGACCTGATTCTCTTCACAAAGAGATACAAGGTACCGCCATGGATCCCCCCAAAAATAAATACAACCAGGCTGACCCCGAAAACACAAGTCAAATACCTTTGTACTGTACTGTACAGCAAGCTGGCATGGAAACCCAATGTACTAAAGAGGGTGAAAGGCCACCATTGCGCTATATGCATCAAAGAAAATTCTGGGTCGGTGGTGCGTCCGACTTTTCTAAACGGGGTGTTAGTATGGTGGCAAGCCACGGGAAAGAGGACTTCCAAAAAGCTTATGGAGAGAACCCAGCGGAAGGCACTGCTCTGCATATCTGGGGCGCAGAGGTCAACCCCCACAAAAGCTGTTGAGACTATAATTGGAATTGTCCCCCTAGACAAACAACGCTACAACGCCAGGTAGCGCTAAAATGTTACGGGCACAGCTCAATTGGTCGAACCATGAGCAGTGTATCTGATTACATGACCTAGAACTTTGCCCTGATGTGAAAACATCAACATTTATGGGACCTGAAGACTGGAAATCAGTTCAGGACCACGATCGATACCTCAATATATACACTGACGGCTCAAGATGAAGAGGAGTTGGAGCGGGCATATACTGTACAGACCCCAAGATGAGGCTGTCGTACAAGCTACTACGCCATTAAAGCATATTCCAGGCGAAAGTCTTCGCCATCAGGAAGGCGGCAGAGCTTGCGCTGGATATAGCCCATGTGAGGCGGTAAACTTGTTCGTAGATAGTCAGACGGCGATTAGATCCATGCAATCGTCAGCTTTCAGTTCCAAGCAGGGACTCACTAGATATCCTGAGCACAACAGCGTCAGTGCGGATCTATTGGGTTCCCAGCCACAAGGGCATAGAGGGAAACGAAATTGTAGAGTCGAACTGGCTATCGATAGAATAGAAAACGTCCCAGTCTCTCTAAGAAAGAGCGCAAAGAGCGCAATGACAAACTCAGCCCCTACGTACTGCATCTATCCCGAAAAGACTGCAGGATATTAGTGGAAATTCTTACATGTCACTGCCTGGCTGCCGCACATGCAGTCCGGCTAGGCATCACCAACAACGGCAACTGCAGGAAATGCTATGAATCTGAGGCAACCGAAGCTCTAACGCAGGCAAGAGTAAAGTCTTCCGTCACTTTCCAGGTTCCCCCGAAGAGCACGGCCGCAGCCTCGACGCTTTCATCGCTGCTGCAGCGGCACAGCGTCAATATTCTACCGACCGCTCTGGAGCGGATCTTCGACACGGCCACGCTCATAGCTCAGTGCACGTCTATATCGCCTGCATCGACGCATCGCTAGCGGAGGGTTTCCATGGCGAGCAAATTTTTTCGGCCACCAACTTGGCAACTTGGGGTTCAAGATTGAGCCTCACGTTCCCAGTCCGGGAGTTAAGTGAGACGGAGCGGGCCCATTTTCAGGACATTACTCTGGCCGATGAGCGCTTCTAAATACCGGCGATGATTTCCAGGGCGCGGCCATGTATCCGCGAGTAAGGCAACCAGGGTTCATGAAGATCCAGGATTACCAGTGGCCCAAAGCACCGTCTTCGGATGGGTCGTGTCCGGAGCCTGGCACCAGCCACAGCTGCAACGACCCTGTTGCAATCCGAGCGATTGCAAGTGGGGCTGGATGCTTAAGTGAGGGGCCCACTGTGCCGCTTCTGCTTGCGGAGCTTTAGAGGAGGAGAAACATCGATGTTCACGGACATCGATGTTTTCGATGTTTTTGGCGCAAAAAATCGATTAAACATCGATGTTTTAAATAAAAAAATTATTTTTTATGAAATTTCAATTTTATTTATGTTTTTGTTTTTGTTGAGAAACAAAAGCTTGTCGACGACTGATGGGGAAAGGCGAGTACGACGGTCTGAAATAACTTGGCCTGCCTTGCTAAACAGACGTTCCGACTCGCATGACGAAGCTGGAATGCATAGGAACTTCTTGGATACCTTTTTTAAAGCTTCTTCAGTTGAGATCTGAAATAAGATAGTATGTTTAATTTAATATTTGAAAAACAAATGTCTTAGCATATAGGGTCTTACCTTCCAATACGCAAGGGGATCGCAGTTTTCCGGCTGGTTCCCTTTTTCTAAATGTTGCCGTAACAGAATGACTGAATCAGCACGCCTCAATTTTAGTTTTAAGAAATGAGAACCGTGTCGGTTCCTCTGTTGGTGGTGCCGGCTGCGGTCGTGGGATTGTAATACAAATGGAGTTCAGCTCTTCCTGTAGAGCCTTGGCCGCTTCCTCCGCGTTCGATGCGCCAAGGAATCCCTGTTTTTTAAATCGAGGATCAATGATAGTGGCTACGCGTGGAATAGTTCTTGTTTCGTATGGAAATAACCTTTCTCGTAAACGAATCTTCACATAATTCGAGGCAGCGATTCCTTCCACTGTTTTAAGTTCCAAACCGTTAATTTTATGGAAAAGTTCGCAAACAACGGGAATAATTAATGAAATTGATACATTTGTGTTCGTTGAAACCGACAGAATTGCATCCGCAAACGGGGCTAACAACATGGATAATTCTTTTAATGTATCAATATCCTCGGCAGACAACGGTAGTGGGGCATTGTGGGATACTGCCAAGACTACACTTATGTATTCGTTTGTTATAATTATTCTTTTAATCATCTCGTACGCGTTATTCCAGCGGGTCGGCATTTCTTGTATCAGGACGTACGGATTTTCTGTTTTTTGCGCTGCCTTAAATTTAGTATACGCAGTCGAACTTCGTTTGAAAAAAGCTACTATTGTCTTACACCTGCTTAGAATATCATCTAAAATTTGCTGTTTCAACATGTCCTGGACCAGCAGGTTGATTGTGTGGGCCACACACGGTAAGTGTTTGTATTTTAATGACTCGCATGCTTTTTTCATCGATGCATCGTTGTCTGAAACCATACATACCACTTTTTGCGATATCGACCAATCTGATAGCACCGATTTAATGGTATCTGCTATATTCGCAGCTGTGTGATTGGTTGGCGTTAGAAGATGCTGTGTTGCTAAAATGGCTGATTCCAATTTGAAATTGGTGGATATAAAATGACATGTTACAGTTATGTAGCCTTCGTTGGCTCGAAACCCTCATCCTCGACACAACTAAAAGGCTGAACATCCACAGCAATCATGTTTAGCACCATTTCATCAATCTTTATTTTCCTCGCCGAATCATTGATATAATGCACAGTGGACTTTCCCACAAACACATCTAAAGCGGTTGTATGATTGTTGCCTTTGCTGTCTTTAAGCCGTTCTGGATGTACGTTGCTCAGATGGTTAAGAAGGTTTGTGGTGTTTCCCATCGTTTTTATGGCCTTTCCACAGTAATTACAAATGGCATGTGTTTTTTTCAACCGTTTTCTTGAAATGATTCCAAGCGATGGAAGCTTCTCGCTTCTTTTTTTGAGCTGGCTCCTCCACATTTTCCTCTGAATTTGATGTTCCTTAAAAAGTAATATTTTCATATAAACATAAAACGTATAACGTACAAATGTACATATGTACATATCATGCGGTTGCATCCAAGCAGAGGTACACATATTCAGGCATTTATGTCCAAATTTCGACAGCTTTTATATTAAAATTACTTACGTTTCAAGTGTCTGTCCATGACCGTCCACTCCACTACTTCAGCCAACACCACCAACAGAACACTAATATGAAACATAATATAAGTAATTTATAAAATAATAAATTAATCCCAATTTACTTACAATTACGCGTTTTCTTCTTCGATGCGCACGTAGAGATGGAAAAAATCGATGTTGGCTGGCCAAACATCGATTTGACCGATGTTTTGAAAACATCGATTACATTGATGTTACCATCGATTTTTCTCCACCTCTACGGAGCTTACCGAGCGCAGCAGCGCTCGCCCCACGCTCCAAAGCTCGGACCTCTGCTGCCGACCGACGGCGATCTCCCGCTCTAGCTTAAGCGAAATAAGGTGGCCGGGAGCTTGGTTTTAAGTTTAAGATTTAGTACCATTACAGCCAATTAAAGCTGATGCTGAATTTACCCCACGACGAAACCGACTTTTCATTTCTAACCCTTTTCTTTGTTTCGCGACGCGGGATTATTTTGGCTTCAACCCCAAATTGTATCTATGTATAGATCGGTCCAATTGAATTAATATATAAAATTATTTAGGGTCTTAAAGTCCGTCTTGCGAAAACAGAGCACTTTTTTGGCTGGACGGTCAGAAATTTTCTGTTCGTCACACCCAATATCAAGAGTCACATCGAGTCACCCTTGCTAAACTGACTCTCACAGGATCAGAGACGAAGCAAAGATCGTCCACCGAGCCTACAAAGCTTAGCGGTGGTCGTGGGCAATTAGAAAATCATCAGCTTTATTGCGCTGCATACATGGTACTCAATAGCTTAAATGTAAGGGCTGCGCTCCCGACCGATAAGCTACGCTTAACAGTGCGAGAGCGGGCCCGAGAAGTGGAGCGCGAACTAGCCGTCCCTCAGCTCGCTTAGCAGCGAGCGAAGCTCGGGAACTCGGGAGCGGGCGTTCGCGAACATCGAAGAGTGGGCGCGGGAGCGCTTAGACTAGCCCGATGAGCAGTGCGCGAAGAGCCGACTTGCGGGAGTGCAAGAGCGGCCAAAGCTTTGGAAACTCGGTGGACAGAGGCGGCGCCGCGGCCGCCGCGAATGGCCTTCTGACGTGAACACGCTGTAAGAAACTTCGAACATGGATGGTTGATTTGAGACAGGGAAATGTCGAACAAGCCAGCTATAAAGTCATGTTGTGTAGGTGTATGGAGAGTATTGGTGGAATTATTTGAGTACCAAATAGCACCAGGGATATTAAAATCTCCTAGGACTACCAACTGGTCTCTATCCAAAAGTCTACTGAATATCATCTGAATAGCGGAAAGGTGATTCCAATAAATAGGAAGTTCCGACAGTGGAAGTATGTAGGAACAGGTAATAAAAATGGAGCTACCTTTGATAGATAGCTTCACAAAGAGGAATTCAACATCGTTGCATTCCTCAAAGGTTAATAATTCTGACGTGAGTGAGGAGTCCACCGCTATAAGAACGCCACCCCTACGCCTCCGGCTTTAACTAGGTTTCTGTGAGCACTATAATCTGAGAAGCAAACGAAAGGGTATCAGAATACAAGTGAGGAAGCTTACTACGTAATGGGGCCCATCCACAGTAGAACATGTTGGCCGAGCCGCTCGTCGAGCAAAAATTTCATTTGCCACCAACTAGTGGCAACATGCTCGCAAACATCATTTGCTGCCAAATCTTTGAGAAGCAAACATGTCAACGGACAACGACAGCGCCACTATAATTGCACTTTTGGCAACTAATGTTTGCGGCTTTGGCTGGAATATAAAGTTTTCAATTAAAATAAATAAATTGTTTTGACATCTTAGAGCTGCTCTATTAGGTGTTGTCGCTTCAAACGTTTGCTTCAAATGATGTTCGTGAAAACGTTGCCATCCATTGTCGAGCATGTTGTCGCAAACACAAGCAAGATAGAATGATTTCTATTTTGTTCGAGCGGCTCGACGAACACGAAATTTGTACGCGAGCACTAGCACTAACGATGAAAATTTCGTCGAGCTCAACATGCTCGGCCAACATGTACTACTGTGGATGGGCCCCATAAGCCTCATGCATTCTGATAGGAAATACCTAGAGAGTAAGTTAGTTTTTTGGGTCGGGATTGGAAGACGTAGAAGGCGCAGTAGTATGATCAGGCCTGGGAAGCGCTATTCCTACAGGCCGTTAGTTTTTTTTCTTCGTTTCGAACTCCTTAATAAAAACATACTCTGGCCAGAATTAGGTGGAGCAAATTGAGCCAAAGAGTTCGTTGGGGAAATTTTTTTTTTTAAAGATGAAATATTTCTAGCTTAGGAAAATTTGAATTTTTCGACATTAACCTTTATCCAGGGGACAGAAAGGATATCATCGGCGGCACAGTCGGGCACCGAATTTTTTTAGCGCTCGATCTAAGCACTCTAGGAGTTAATGCTGTTGTCGAGGGCTGTGCCGACGGGAGCTGCAACTAAGAACCCGTTGCAGGTAGCTGGGATCCGTCTACAAGCTGCCCTCCAATTGCATTTTTTTGCTCCTGGGAGACCCATTAAAAACCGTCAGGCTATTGAAATTGGCTATCAAGCGCCAAGATCATATCATGAGGTTTGCGAAAACTCGATAATATGTCCTTTAAACCGCCCTTGGGTTGATGCCTAAAAGACACCATCTCCTTATCCACCTTGCGTCAGACCTCGCAGCAGTAAGGTAGGCCGATGTTTTCTCTCACATCGTCATTATTAGGACTTACCCAGTAAAACTAAACCAAAAGCAGAATGACGGGGATGTTGCTCTTGTCACCTCAACCAGTTATTGACCATTGTAACATCCAACTTAACAAAATATCACTAATTAGCCATATTCTTTCTCCCACCAACGAATGAGCTCATACAATTTTCAACAACAGAAAGAGAAGACGTAATTACAAACTGTAAACATATTCGGAAACAAAGTCAAAGTCCACAAACATAAAACAACAACAGACAAAGTTAATCAAGAAATTGGAGGATATGAATGTATTAATGTTCAATACACAACTGACTTCGATGCATTGGATTGTTGGAATTTACATAAAAATTTTTTCCTCTTTTACAATAAAACGGGATATAAAATTTTCTGCATTCCAGCGAGTATATTGCTTCAGAACGAATATTTTCAAAAATGACAGGAACTTAATAACCATCAAAACTTGAAGAATGGACTACGACACTGACTAAATAAATCAAAGTGTTTTTGCATTTTAATCCAAATTTCATATGTTATATATTGACTTGGTGTTTGTTTTCTGGCCAGCATTCCAAATTCTTTTCGTTCTCACTCACTCATTTCGTTTCGAGTGTTTTCGGGTGTGACATAAGACTTCGGGCAGCACACTCACCTTCTGATATCTGACAAGCGTCTCCTTAATATTCACTCAATTTATTTTGAGCATTGTATACTTGAATGCGGGATTTTAGCCACAATGCCAGTGACTCTTTATGCGTTCGGACGTGTTTTTGATCGCTCTGCCGAAAGACTTTTAAAAATAAACAATTTGACCACAAAAAAAAAAATAGAGCGAAAGGACGCTGGCAGCAATGCCATATCTATACTTCCTTGTGAATGCAAATAAAATATTAACTATCGCGATTGGCAACAAATAAAAGTAAACGAACGACGGCTGTCTTCTGCACGGATTAACACGAAGAAAACAACAAAATCATCGTTATTTACCGCTACCGAAAGAGCCAGCTCACTGTCACCAGCTGCCGTTACTCAGTCGAGGAGTTCACCATGCCTCGTTCTCTCTTATCGACGCACCGACTACTTCGGCTTGTGCGCTCACAAGCACGATACCCTCTCTTACGACAGCAACATCAATGACAACAACAACTAACGTCTGCGGCTACCCAGTGGCTTATCTCAACACCGCAACTAAAACTTAGCTCTATTGTCTCTCTCACAAATAACACGCTCGTACTGGCCGGGATCGATCGGTATGTACAAATGAAAAGAAAGCTTAGCCCACAAAAAATCGTAAACTGAAATTTGCCAAAAGTACCAAAACTTTAGGCAACACAGAAATATCCTAAAACAAATTTACCATACTTGGCAAGGGCGAAAAAGACAAAGTCAGGAGCCTCAAGTCATGAAACCTGTAAAACCACCGCCAATGAATATTAGGAAACACAAATGTGCCGACATGATCAATAAGCTTAAACAAGTAACTGGGCCTTACCACTCTTATGTCACCACCCTAAAAAAGGAAACATATTAGAAGCAAAACGTCAGGTTAACAATGAAGACAACTTTCGTTCTGTAACAAAAGATCTCGACAATGGGCCTATATTACCATATTACTATACTTACCAACTCAAAAGTAGGAAAGGCCTACAAATTGTACTACAAGGTATCAAACCGACTGTTGCTCGAGAAAAAAGGCTTCGTGAACATCTTTAACATGGATCAAATTCATCAACCACTAATTAAAATTGAGCTGGCCCAAAGGCGAAACCTCTAAATAAAAATTTAGTGCATCCTACATACAATCTGCAATATCTCCTTCACCAAAAAATCACTGTAGAGGAACCGCATAAGCGAAACAGACCCGTACAGTGTACAAACTGCCAGGACTTTGGCCATACAAGAACCTACTGCACCCTGCGACCTGCCTGTGTCACCTGTGGAGATTTGCATTGCATTGAAGCATGCCTGGGAAATAAAGATGACCCTACTATTAGGAAATGCAGTAAATGTGGCGGAAATCATATTGAGAACTACTAGGACTGTCGCATCTATATAGAACTCAAGCCGAGCTGAGCCTCTAAACCAGAGACGCACTAACCAAACCAAACCAACGCCCAACCAAATATCTTCACTCCCTCAACAACCACTCCTGGTGTCTCCTTTGCCAACGCTTTTCGCTACCCTGGAATCTCACAAACATCTACCGCTCAGCTGGCAGCAGTGCACAGCCACAGCCACCTATACCAAACCAGAATAATTTTCCGCCCAAACAACAACTTAACCTTCTAAGCAGCAAAACCAAAAAACCTGCGGATAGGTATCAACGCCACTAAAACCGAACTGATGCTCTTCACAAGAAGAACAAAGATATAACAAAGACTTAACATGCTAACGTAACCGGCACAGAGTTAAAACTATCAGAGCAGGCAAAGTATCTAGGAGTGATACTGGACCCAAAGCTCTCATGGAAGAAAATCGTTGCGAAAAGTGTCAGAAAGACAAGCATTGCATCGTACTCTACAGGAAAATGTTCGGAGACAAATGGGGGCTAAAAAGTTCGTATATGCCTCTAAGACGCGGTAGTGCGGCCAGTATTAACATACAGAGTCCTAGTATGGTGCCCAGCACTAACGAAGGCATTTAGTATATCAAAACTTACAAGGATACAAGGAGCAGTGTATGCGGAAGAACTCCGCTCATGAAATCCTGACCATAATACCGATAGAATTGTTCGTAATGGACATTGACACTCAAAGCGCAGTAAGACTGAATGCCAGCAATTGCTACAGGGCACGGCAAGATACTTAAAGGCATCAAATTACAATTTAACGGATGAATGGACAAAATGACCGCGGAGATTTACTTCGATAAGGAAGAACAAAGGAAGACTGGAGCAGGGACAGGGTAATTGTAGTGTACGAGGTATCTCTCTACAGTGACCGTTTCTAGATGAACGGTGGCGTAGGGGCTGATAACTACTCTGAGCACGGTGAATTGACTCGGCGTTCTTTCAGGCCGGGTGGCTCGCCACAAGGAAAGCAGTTAGGCTTTCAACACGGCGAGGACTTAGCGACACTAAAGGACGGATCTACTTCGATAGCCAAGCGGCTAACATTATTCTCTAGCTCCCGTGAAAACCAACTCACGGCTAGTGGCAGATTGTAAGAAGAATTCGTCCGAATAAAAAAAAAATTAAACGAAAATCTGGAAAAATACAAAATGGCTATATCTCATATTTTATGCAATTCTGCTGAAAACTAAAAAAGTTATACATTTCAGTTGTATTAATTTCTCGATCGTTCCTATGGCAGCGATAGGAAAAACTGTAGAAAAATTAAGTTAAATGTTTTGTTCTAAAAATTTTCCGTTTGCATGGTCGTCCATATTTGCGGGTGCGAGTAGAGATGACTAACTGTAAAGTTTCATTAAGCTTTAAAACTGAGTTTGCGCATAAAAGGACGGACGAACATGGCTAGATCGACTCGGTTGTTGATGCTGATCAAGAATATAAATTTACTTTATATGGTCGGAGATGACTCCTTCACTGCGTTGCAAACTTCTGACTGAAATTATAATACCCTGAAAGGGTTTGAATATTGGCATACTATTCGGGGCTATAAAACTAACGACAAATACTCGGAGCACCAACGGCGTCCCCGCCCGAAAACATAACACTTTTGTATTTAAATTGTCTAATTTTCCCCTCCCTTTTGGTCTTAAAAATCAATACAATTCATTATTTTTATTATTAATTATTGTTTTGGACTTATACGCTGAACTGCTGATCTTTGAAAAGAATTAAGGAGTTAGACAACCCTGAACACCTGAAAAATGCAATTTAAAAAAAATTTATTTTGCCAAACTATTAAAAATACAAATTATTATTATTATTAATTTGACTATTAAAGGACATATTATAAACTATAAAATAATTATTGGAAGAATAAAAAATATTCACAAATGGTGGAAATACAGCGAGTCTAAAACGGCAACGGTTTTATGGTGCACATGATGAACCACACATTTTTTATCCGAAATTTGTTTAAACTATATAAATACAGCTATAGCATGACGTACTGGGTTTTAAAAAAACATTTTTTGGAGCAAATGTGAGCGCTATGAAAAAATAAGAATTTTTATACGAAATTTCTGTTTTTAAATTGATAACTAAAAAAATATATCGAAAAAATCCTACGTCATGCCATAGAGAAGCTGTGTACAAAATTTGAAGAAAATCGGTCAAGTAGTTTTTGTTAAATCATGTACACCGTTCCAAAAAACGTAGTTTTGAGAAAAAGGTAAAACAAGATTAAAAGTACTTAAAGGTATACCTAGTGACTGTAATATTCACAAATAATGAGATATTTTAAAACCCGATGATTTTTTTTTTATCTGGGTCATGAAATCTTCCGCAGGAATCAAGTCAACATTATATAAAACCACTAAGCAAGAAATACATAGAGAAGTCAAACAGTACAAAAAAGTAATATCACAAAAACGGCTGAGCCTGGAACCCCAGAGCACCCGAACGATATGTCTAGAGCCCCAGAGTGCGTTCGGCTTTTTCGAGTTCGAAGCATTCGTTCGAATGCGCTCGCACGTTTGTATGCGTGTTCAAATTTCTGCATGCAGAGTCTTTTTCAAAGATTTTGGACGGCTACAGCCAGTGCGCCGCGGCGGCGGCTCACTTATGACGTCACAGCAATACTTAGCGGCTAGCGCTTGCATTGGGGGACAAATTATTTAAGTTATTTAACTATAATTACTACTTATTTTAATTTACGCTTCCGTCCCTAGGGACGTCTTGGACGATAAAAACCTTTTTTATAAAAGTAATTGAAAATCCTTTCATCATTACACAAGACATTTCGCCAAAATGGAAGAGTCTTATAATAAACATTTCGCGATATTCAAGTGCTTTTGGTTTTTTTTAGTTGTTCTAAAAGGTACTGTCTTTCCAGTTGTTTTTATACATATATGCCTCAATTCAACGCCAGCTTATTTTTCGTTCACTAATGTACATAGTCTCGTCACAAAAAAAAAACTTCATCCCCATACTCAGGAGGCTGGTTAACGTGGCCGATAGAGAAATTAAACCGCCATTCAATATTTATAGCTGAAAGCATTGGTTTCTTCCTGGCAATGTGTGAGGAGTATTTGTGGAGATTCAGGACTTTCCTCACAGTCTGATGGCAACCTGTTTTTCTGCAATCATTTTTTAAGTCCAAAGCCAACTTTCTGAGGGTTGTTGGCGTGTTTTTATCAATTTGTTTCGAAATTTTATAATGGTCGCATTTGGAGAGCTTTTGGTAATCTGCCTGCAGAATTGTACAGGTCAAGTCTATTTTTCTTTTTAGACCGTTTAATTATTTTATACATTGTTCCTAACTTAATATCAAAAATTTCGGAATGTTCCGACGCCGATTACCCTTTATAATGGTTAAAGTAAACCAATTCTATGTTATTATCGTCAATTCGTTTGCCGGGCATGATTTAAATTCTGGACTCGATCAAACACGAACTTTTTCCAACGAAATTTTTCAAGAACATAAAAGTAAAGACCACTAAGAAGTGGCAAGCGTTAATTTTCCTCAGAATTAGCTTTGCGTTGCTTAATTCTAGGAACCTCTTCAACTCCTGTTTGCATTTTGCAAAGAATTAATTGACAGCATACGAATTGCAATGTTTTTGTTATTGCTATTTTTTACTATGTTTTAAGATAAAATATTTTAGTTTTGTTTTTATATTTATAGATTAAAGTTATCCTAATATTATTATAAAAGAAAATTTTAAAAAATTCTTGTATTTGTCAATAAATTTTCAGTTTAAACCCAAAATTGTGAGGGATTTTTCGTTTTGCAAAGAATTACTTGACAAACTGTATGTAGTCAGTTTTTTTAGCATCACTAACTTGGTTTAAAATGTAAACAAAACTGTACCAGCTTTTTGTGCCATTCACATGTTAAAAGTGAACGTTGCAGAGCCAAAGGAATAGGAGTAATTGACAAAAATAGTTTTGTGTACAGATCGACCTTTTTTATTGATTTAAATATATGCTATTCTTTTTATAACACGCAAGACTACATAGAGGGTTCCTTGAAATAGAACAATTATATGACTTGCGATTTCCACAACCGCTAATACAGCACAACTCTTCAGAAGGTGTAGCCCGTGGTAATTGTGCTTTTAATGGAAACTCGCAGCCTGGTGGTACTAATATAACGCTTCCTTCAATATTATTTATGTATGTAATTTTTGGATAAGACGGCTTCTGTGATTGTTTAATACGAACTGCATAGCGCTGCCTATGGGATTCTTGTTTCTTTAACAAGCGCTCCATTGTTTTTAGCTTGTCCTTTTCACGTCGCTCGTCCGCCTGCTGCTTCCGCTTTTGGGACTTAAGGACTGCCTTGTTGATTTCCTCGGCCGTTTGAGGCTTTTCCTTTTCCTTATATCCGTTTGGAAGTGCAATAAGCTCTTCGGCAAATCCACTCTTTGGATATTGTGTACGTTCATACATAGCACGTTGACGAGCAGTCATTAATTTTGGATTCTTGATTTTCTTTAATTCGTCATCGACCTCTGCTAGTTTTCCAGTTTCGATGGCATGAAGCCAGCGTTCTTCGTCACTCGACGTATCACTGCCGCGGCGTTTCTTAATTTTTTTTACATTAGGCGATGTTGTGATCTGTTTGTTCGTGCATGTTCTTGTCCTTAAATAGGGGAATTCAAGCATATTTGTTATGCCAGTTACAGGTTGTTCCAAGGGCGAAAAAGAACTTGAAATTGTTGAGGAGTCTGCATGTTTTGCAGAACTAATAGCAACCGAATCCTTCAGTGTTGGCATTAATTAAAAAATTTTATTAAATCGTCGTATTTAGACACTTATGCTAGAGGTGCAAAAACATCGATGAAACCATCGATGCTCCGATTTTTTTCGAATTTTCCAAATCATCGATGTTTTCTTTTAACCACCCATGCTTTGTGCCGTCACTACCAAGATAATAAGCAATAGAAAGGCAGGAAAAAAAGTGGAAATATATTTTATTTTTGAATTTAATTTATATACCCTTGCAGGGTATTATAATTTCAGTCAGAAGTTTGCAACACAGTGATGGAGGCAACTCCGACCATATAAATCATATGTATATATTCTTGATCAGGATCAACAGCCGAGTCGATCTAGGCACGACCGTCTTTCCGTGTCTACGCAAACTAGTCTCTTAGTTTTGAAGCTTTCTTTTAGTCTTCTAAATACTCTCACTCGTATACATACATATATGTCGGAACGGGCCGGATCGGACGACTATATCATATAGCTTCCATAGGAATGATTGAAAATTTTTACAAAAATAATTATAATATTTTCAGTTTTCAACAGAATTTAATCAAATTTGAGATTAATCCATATATTATTCTACAATTTTGTGTAAAATTTTATGAAAATCGGACTATTATATCGTATAGCTCCCAAAGGAACGATCTAAAAATTAACTCAATAAAAAATTAAAACTTTTTCAGTTTTCAACAGATGTTCATCAAATTTGAGATATAGCCATTTCATATTATTCTACAACTTTGTGTGAAATTTTATAAAAAAAATGCTATACTAAAAATTTGCTACTATATCATATAGCTCCCATAGGGCCGATCGAGAAATTAATACAATTAAAAATTATAACTCCAGTTTTCAAAAGATTTTCATCACATTTGAGATATAGGCATTTTATATTAGTCTTAAATTTTGTGTCGAATTTTACGAAAATCGGGTGACTATATCATATAGGTGCCATAAAAACGATCGTTAGATGTGGATGAAGAATGCAAATGTGTGAATGTTAAACAGCAAATGCAATATGTATAGGTGAATGAAATGAAAGAAGGTATTACTTAAATATATAATTAATATTGTATGGATTCCTAGGCATCGAAGTTCTATCTGCAAGGGTATATAAACTTCGGCGTCCCGAAGTTAGCTTCCTTTCTTGTTATGTTAAAAATCAACGACGTAATGCCTTCTTTCATTACATTCACCTATGCATTTACAGTTTTATATTTCTACTAGCCGGCCCGTCCCGGCTTCGCACGGGCATATTATGGTTAAGAGGGCACTTCTGAATACATCAAGGTTCTGGCAAAATCATCTTCCTGGCATAAGGTGAAGAAGGCAGTCAGAGTTGTCGCTGGCCGATTCAGGACTCTTTCTTGCACATTTTTTTCTGTGAAATAGACACGTTGACCATTCTCCAAATGGACTGCCACGTTTCTCTGTGGCATATTGTGGTTGAACGCATAAGAAATAAGTCACATTGAAATGGTATCCGTCGGCACCATCCCAGAAGATTAGTGGATACTGCAAAGCATCGTAACAACGGTGAGTTTCTGCGACGTTTACCAATCGATCGTTTCGTCGATGGAGAACAATATCTCGAGGTTGAAACTGATCCCCGACTATGACAATTGCCACTTCGTCTATAGTTGGAGCATGATATGTTCTCCAGCAGGCGTTTTGTCTGCATGAATGACAATTTTATGGGTATCCGAAGGCATCATATCGATTGCTGTTTTGAATAAACGCACCAAATTGTTCCGTTCGTGAAAAAGATTCTGTAGCTGCGAAATAATGTGCCTCTTCAGCGTATTTAGGTATTGATTCCATAACGTGCATCTACTTCATTTCCATCATCACCAAGAAGAAGAAATTTGTGTTCGCTGTCTGGGAACGGAAGCAGGGAACCGGCTTTATGATAGATTTGTCCTTTGATTTTAAAAGTTGGCATGAATTGTGCAGTTATAATTTCCGCACCAAATGACGTCATTTGAAAGCAAGAGTTGTATTTCCTAATGTTCGACAGGAAATGCTTCGATTCTGCAGTAGATCCAGCGAATAGAGAGTGCAGAGGCTCTGGTGGTGCTTCAAGTTGAGGCAATTCCACTTTCCCGGAAGCGCAACACAATCCTTTTGGTTCGTTTTTAAATTTGAGAGCCTGACGGTATATGCAGACCTGATGCATTCGTCCAATAACGACATTCGACTCGAGCTGTAATCAATAGTTGGATTATATCTGAATGCAAGACGATTGTATTGCAGGTTTTGATCTTCTGCAAGCTGTAAACGCTCTTCAGCTACCCTTGCCCTGTCGCGTTCATTATTTTGAGAGTGAATCAAATCGATTGCTGCAGAACGCGACTGCCTAACTCTCAATCGTTTTCTCTCAAGCCTATCTGCTCGTCTTTCTGCTGATTCCTCTATGTGCATTTGCATTGCTCTCTGCCGCTCAGTCTCTCGGAAGGAGGCCCGTTCTTCGTCAGTCATATTCGTAATCTTACGTCTTTTTGCTTCTGTATTGCGAATACAACGACCCAATCTCGACTTTTTTGGTGGCATGACTTCGTTTCTTACTGAACCTGAACAAAAAATAAAATTTGTATCTCCAATTTCTTCTTTCAATATGTTTTTAATGTTTGACAGGAAATGCTTTGATTTGCTTGTAGAGGGCGCAGTAGTAGGGGCACGGGGAAACGCTAAAAAAATAGATATATTCGCAGCCGCAGATAAGCTATCAACATCAAAAGTAGTCAATAACCGAGCTGGAACCTCAACGCATGTTCTCTAAAAATTTGGGCATAAACGGTTCAGAACTTTTCAAGTTTCTTCTTTCAATATGTTTTGAATGTTTGACAGGAAATGCTTTGATTCAGCTGGCTGCCTGTAGATGACGCAGCAGTAGGGTCACTTGGAAACGCTAAGGGTGGACTACCCCTAACATTTAGGGGGATGAAAAATAGATGTTGGCCTATTCTCATAGATACCGGATAAGCACAAAAAATTTCATCAAAATCGGTCAAGCCGTTTCGGAGGAGTAAGGGCACGAAAACTGTGACACGAGAATTTTATATATTAGATGGCAGCTATATAATAAAGTAGTCTGGGTTTTCACAAATGTAAAACGCATTTCTATAATATAAAATGGCTATATCTAAAATTTTATTAAATTTTTGCAAACTGGAAAAGTGATTATTTTTTTCTAAAAATTTTTTAATCGTTCCTATGGCAACTATATTCATATATAGTCCGCCAAACAGACCCGTTCCGACTTATATAGGAATAAGAGTATATATACAAAAACTAATTGCAAAGTTTCATTTAGATAGCTTAAAAACCGAGAGACTAGTTTGAGTAGAAACGGATAGAAGGACGGACGGGCAGTCGGACGGCCAGACTGACGGAAATGGCTAGATCGATTTGATCAAGAAGATATATACTTTATAGGGTCGGAAAAGTCTCCTTCACTACGTTGCCGACTAATATTATATATATTATATAAATGTTATAATACATCAATATATATAACAAGAAAAAAGACTAAAAGACTGTTAGTTACACCAATTATAACTCAAGAACGGCAGAACAGATTTGGGTGAAAATTACTAGGGAGGTAGCTTAGAGCCAGAAGACGGACATAGGGTACTTTTTAGCCCGTTCGACAGAAAAGCGGGATATCCATCGCAGATACCAATAGCATTTACTACAAACCAATATATCTAGTAGTCGTTTCCTAACATTTCAATTGGAAACAAAATAAATAAAGTGTAGGCATTTGTCTTTAAGGTGGTAAGTTGAAATGTGTTTATTATGTGGATCGTGCATTTGAGATCCAATAATGCGACACAGTTAAAATGTATTTATATTAATTAAAGTATAACATTCAAAGAATGTCATAAAATTTGTATAAAGAAATATTCAAAAATATATCAATGTAACCTGTCCGGGCGTGTCTCGAAAAAAAGTTGAATTGCGGTGTCAATCATAACTGGGTTCCGGAGCATCGGAAATAAAACAATCCAAATTCATTCGTTAGGTTACAACGGCAACGATGTCGAGTTTTTTTTGAAATACCAATTTTTGAATTTTTTTCACTTTAAAGTGAAAAACACGAGTGTTTGTGAAAAAATAGTCTAATTTGTCATAGTAAAATCAAAATTAAAAACAAAAAAAACTCGACATCGTTACCTTGCAAAATAGGTACAGAAATAGTGTTTAAAATTTAAATAGGATCGGTGCAGTAATTTTGAGTTGGGAGAAAAGCGCTTTCAAGTTTTAAGCACAAAAAAATTCAGTGTAAAGGAAAATCTTGCAAGAATAATAATACTCATAACTTCGTCAATTATTACGTTATATATTATTATATTATATTTTTTTATATTATACTAGCCGGCCCGTCCCGGCTTCGCACGGGCATATTATGGTTAAGAGGGCACTTCTGAATACATCAAGGTTCTGGCAAAATCATCTTCCTGGCATAAGGTGAAGAAGGCAGTCAGAGTTGTCGCTGGCCGATTCAGGACTCTTTCTTGCACATTTTTTTCTGTGAAATAGACACGTTGACCATTCTCCAAATGGACTGCCACGTTTCTCTGTGGCATATTGTGGTTGAACGCATAAGAAATAAGTCACATTGAAATGGTATCCATCGGCACCATCCCAGAAGATTAGTGGATACTGCAAAGCATCGTAACAACGGTGAGTTTCTGCGACGTTTACCAATCGATCGTTTCGTCGATGGAGAACAATATCTCGAGGTTGAAACTGATCCCCGACTATGACAATTGCCACTTCGTCTATAGTTGGAGCATTATATCTCCTGATATGTTCTCCAGCAGGCGTTTTGTCTGCATGAATGACAATTTTATGGGTATCCGAAGGCATCATATCGATTGCTGTTTTGAATAAACGCACCAAATTGTTCCGTTCGTGAAAAAGATTCTGTAGCTGCGAAATAATGTGCCTCTTCAGCGTATTTAGGTATTGATTCCATAACGTGCATCTACTTCATTTCCATCATCACCAAGAAGAAGAAATTTGTGTTCGCTGTCTGGGAACGGAAGCAGGGAACCGGCTTTATGATAGATT